CAAAGAAAATCACGGCGTTCCAGGGAAAGTCCAATATTCTAGATGTGTTATGGGTTGGGATTTGGGCTAGGATCTTTGTCAGCCCCGACCACCTCAGAGACACGGGCTATCTCCAACCTTAACCTTAGCGCATAACCCTAACCTCAACTCATAACACCCCTAGAATATTGGACTTTCCCTGGAACTCCGAGATGTCCTTTCTTTGGGTTAAATTTTTTTTAAGTACCAAAATCAAGTCTTCTGAGATCTTATGCGTCACAAAGTAATACATTCAGTAAACCATGACAGAGTGAGAAACGTTACTATCAAACAGAGTGCCCCCTAACTCTAACCCTAACTAACCTTAAAGCCTAACCCTAAAGTCAAACTATAACACCCCTAGAATATTGTACTTTCCCTCAAACTCCGGGATGTCCTTTGTTTGGGTTGTATTAAAAATAAAGTACCAAATAATAAAATCAAGCCTTATCAGGTCTGATGCATCACGAAAGCCATAAATTTAACTAATAAGGACAGAGTGAGGAACGTTACTATCAAACAGAATGCGGAATCAACAGATGCTTTTGAGGTTGAGGTTTGAACAACGGATCAACATAATGGCACAGGGATAGTAACCCATGAGTGCTCCGTTCTTCTTGTAACTCAAGTCTGAGTTTAAAGAAGCTCAGCACAGTGCACCGGCGAGGATCCTGAAATACTTTGGGTAGATTTGTAACAGGTAGCGCCGTTAGACTACTATTTTAGATTTTCAACTGCGACTGAATTTTTTACGTGCGCAACAAGGTACACGGGCGTCTGATCACACTACCCAGAGACCAGGGGGAATTGATAGAAGCCCAAATAGACGTAAAAAAAACCAGCCCCTACCAGGGATTGAACCTGGAACCTTTAGCACTCGAGGCGGTCACCATGCCTCTAGACCATGCAGACCCCTAACAAATACTTTGAGAAGCAGAAGATCGGTGTGAGCATCTTGTTATACTCTAGCAACATTAGTTACCATCACGGGCACTGTAAGAAAGTCTGTTACGAAAACCAGAGTGACAAACGGAGATGACATTTAGGGTAAAATCCAGTTCAAACGAATAAACAGAACACATCAAGAATTAGTGTTTAAAAAACTCGTACTGACAGCGGACTCCTGTTAACACATCCTTGTTTGGACCAACATTCTCTTCATGTTAAGCGATAATTTTTTACGCGAGTTCTTGTTAATGAGGATGCACTATTAAAAACATTAAAGACTTGTTCATTCTCACGAATCGACAATAGCCAATACTACTTTTCAAATGCTGATCCCTCGACTTTACCTTACTGTGATTCCTGATGGCAAAAGTAGAAGTTGATAATAATGACTGTGATAAGGTATTATAGCTAGCATTAATATCTTTTTAGATTGTGTCTCTTGCCAGTATAAAGGAAGAATTTGTGTTCTACTTCTACGACAACCTACAAAAGTTGCAGTACGAACCACACGTCAGAAAAGTTGAATTTGAAGAAGATATTTTACTGTCTGCTGAAATCTACGCTAGACAAGCATTCTCCAATCAGGCGCTCAGGTAATGTATGTTGGTACCTTTACTTCTTTCCCTCTGATATTAATATATAGGGCTGTTATTAAGTAAATGCGTTCGAAAGCAAAGTATGTTCTTAGTGCACTTGTTTCCATAGCGAGGTGCACACGCCGTCTTAAGTTGAAAGATTCGACTCCTGGCAGGGTAAATATAGCTTTTGATTTTTATGTTTTCTAGTGTGTTTTTCTATCTTTCTATCTACATCTTTCTATGAGTGCAGATCAGTACATTTTCTGTTGTTTTAATGTAGTAGAATCTAGCTGTTGGTCTGATTTTGTTCCATTCCCACCATTTGATCAAACCATTTCATTCTTTAATGTTTTATGAAACCATTTACCGGTTTCTTTGCCTGCTATTTTTCTTAGTATTTTTCTTAGTTCTTCGTTGGTGACTATCTCTTCTTGTGTGTCCGCATTTCTTATACATTCAATCTCACATGTTGTAAACCCGATGCAGCAATAACTTAAAAAGAATATTTTACTCTGAATTTCACAATACAAGATAAGACTTCGCATCAGTAAAAGGCATAATAACGCCCTAATGTGATGAGATCATTACTGGAGTGTGAAAACCCTCGTATATTGCAGACCTACTAAAACCGGAGAATCGATACAGAGGCATTCACCTCTTTAACGATGGGACCGGCTCACCTCGTAATTTGCATGGCACAGTGAGAGTTATGGTGATTAGTTGTGGAAAGGATTGGGGGAATAAAAGAATGAATGCATGCATCATTTATCCAGTGAATGACTGTGTACATTTATGTGTTATGTGATGGGTGGCTGGATGAGAGAGCTAAGAGGCTGGCGCATACAGGACGAACGAAATTGTGTTTTCTTTTTTCATATTTTTTTTTTAATTGGTCACCCAAGACGTGTCATTCCCATACAGTAATCAGATGGTAGCGTGTTGTTCCTCAACTGATGGTGTGTAGTGATTTCTAACAGTTATCAAAATATGTTACACTGTCTCAACTCATCGCCTCTTCTAACAATAACTAACATATGTTACGTTGTCTCGTCTTCTCTTCTAACAAGAATCGACATCTGTTTCATTGTATCATTTCATTTTCTTGTCTAACGATAATCAGTCGTTTCAAATTGACTCATCTCGTCTCCTCTTGAAACAATAATGGAACATTTGTTACATTGTCCCATCTCATCTCCTCTTCTAACAATGATCAAATGTTTTAAATTGTCTCATCTCATCTACTCTTGATTCTCTTGTGAAGGGATTTGAAAAAAAAAATCGTCTTTTGCTACATTCTTTCATCTTGTCTCCACTTCTAACAATAGTCGGCATATATTATATTGTCTAATCTCAACTTCTCTTCTAATAATAATCGAAATTTTTTACTGTGTCTCATCTCATCTTCTCTTCTAATAATAAACTACATTTGCAACATTATCTCATCTCGTTTTCACTTCTAAAAATAATCGAGCTGTGTTACATTCTCTCATCTCGTCTCCTATTCTAACAGTAATCGACATTTGTTACATTGTCTCATCTCATCTTTTTTTTTCCAACAATAATCAATTGTTTCAAATTGACTCATCTCATCTCATTTTCCAACAATAATTGGACATTTTTTTTTACATTGTCTCATCACATCTTCTCTTCTAACGATCATCTACATTTGCTAGATTGTCTTATCTCATTTTGCTCTTCTAACAATAATCTACATTAGTTACATTGTCTCATCTCATCTTCCCTTTTAACAATAATTGACCTGTAATACATTGTCTCATCTCTTTGCCACTTGATTCTCTTGAACGAGTTGGTGTCGAGAAGAAGTCAAATAGTGCATGTTTGTGGGCCATGTCTCTGGGTACGCCAGAAACTGTATCATCGCCTCTGTTCCTGGTTTGCATGGTGGGCGAGTGTTTCGATTCCTAATTGGTCTGTATGGCATTGCTGGTGGTGGTATACTGTATGTTGACCGCCGAGTAAGTGGCCGAACCAATTTACAGCCCTAAAGTGAAATTTAGTGCTGCTACAACCCACGCCACCCCTTTCTGTCACCCTGTCCCCCTTTCTTTCGAATTTGTTTTTCTTGTTCATCTCACTGCTCTATACGTGGATTACTCTTCTCCTTCCACTTATTCTTTGTTCACCGGTTGTAAGCTTCGGCGGAAAGTCCTTATTTTTAGCCAATTTGAACTTTGGCTTCTGTCGAGGCCTGAGTTTTGCGTATACATCTTTTTACAGGCTTATTTTTGTGCAACGGGTTGTTCCCTTGACCATAGGACAGATACACTTCTACTTCGAAGGAAGCTCCCAATTCGTCAACTCTTGCAATATGCTTTTTTTGTGGTGGGGGCAGTGAGTGGTTTATTCTTGTTTTCGTAACAATGGGGCCCCGGAACCCACACGGGGAAATTGTTCTTCTAATAATCAAGTTATATTTGTTTTCTTTGTTGTACTGTGAAGTTCCTCGCGCACACACAAATCTTCACACACAAATCCGCACACAAAAAAAGATTCCTTTGTTTGTGGTGAATTGAGAATAAAGTACCTAATCAAACAGCTACAGATCCCAGAAACCTTGTTTAACCGGTATAACCGTGTCATCATCATGTAGCAGGTCCTTTGCAGAACGCCGCTCTCATCTCGTCTGCCTGAAAGAAACTCGGTCTCTCGCCAGTTCCCCCGCCTCATGCATTTTCACACTCAAGGAGTCACTTATATCCTGTGCCCATCTTCGTGTCGGTCGGCCCCTGCCCCTCCTTCCTGGTACCATGCTTTCTGCTATAAAAAGAATTTTAACGCCATGTAGCCCAATTATATGGGGCCACTAAACACCGGTTACAAAGTAATGTGTAGTCCTGTTTAAGTAGGTCTTGATGGATCAATAATGTATAAAATGTAACTCTTATCCTCACCAGATATGACAGAATTTGTCTTCCAGAAAACGGAATACCCACGGAAGAAATGGTCGATCAGTTTCTGTCTCACTTTAAAGTAAGTAGCCCTGTGGTTATCATTGATTAATCTTCATTATCTAGCTATTTGTGAATGTAAATGGGCAAATAAAGGACCCATGGTGTCCGCCTCGAGTGCTAGAGGTCCCGGGTTTAATCCGCAGTAAGGGCTGGGATATTTCACGTGGACTTGGACTTCTACTACTAATTTCCCCGGTCTTTGTGTAGTAAGATCGGACGCCCGTGGGCATTGTTGCGCACGTAAAAAAAATCTCTTTGCAATTGGAAATGGAAAAGAGTAGCCTAACGGGGCTGCCCGGGTAAAAGTTGGACACAAAGTATTTCAGGATCATCGCCGGTGCTACACAGCCTGTGCACTGTGCTGAGGTTCTTCGGACTCAGACTTGAGTTAGAAGAACGGAGCACTTATGGGTTACACCCGTGTGCCATGATGTTGATCCGTTGTTTAAAACCTCATTATCTAGCTATTTGTGAATGTAAAGTAGGTAAAAAAAGGGACCCTTTTCCGCGTCTTCGGGCGTACTGGGCACATAGGGCTGACCTATATTTTGAGACCATCAGCACTCAGTGAGTGATGTGATCAACATTACGCTGACAGCCTTTAATTCCCAGCACTTTACCTGGTACTCACTCACGGCTGGGTTAGGAGGGTGCTGCGTCAAGAGGTATGGTGTTCGGGGGGGTTGGGGGGGGGGCTGGGATTTTTTCACGTGGACTTCTAGTAATTTTCGCTGGTCTCTGGGTAGTAAGATCGGACGTCTGTGTGTATGGTTGCGCAAGTTAAAAAATTCCTTGGCAGTTGGAAACGGAAAAAGAGTAGCCAAATGGCGCTGCTCTGGCAAAATCTTGAGTTAAAAATCTACCAAAAATATTTTAGGATCCTCGACGGTGCTATGGAGTTCGTGTACTGCGTTAAGATGCTTCGGACTTGAGTTAGAAGTAGAAGGAAGCGCTTATGGATTATTACCTTTGCGCCATGATGTTGATCCGTTGAATAAACCCAACACACACAAAAATAAACCATTCCATAATTTGTGTTGGGGAACAAACCATGTAGCTTTAATGGGTTGTCCCACTGGGAAGAGACCTGAGGCCTAACCTATGCAAACTTATCGACGGATCAGAATAAAATCGACATTGCACCCTCAAAAGTACACTTTATTCTGAGCGTAATCGGCCACCCGCCATTTTAGTGCAGTCAGCAAGACGCTACGGGCACAACAGAAAAGCAACATTCCACATTAAATCCGTAACTCACAGTGTTATAACACTCATCTCAGTATTTGAGCAACGGAACCTTTGGTCTCTCTTTCCAGAAGTTAGGAATTAACATTAGCAAAGCCTAGTTGGAATCAACTAACTTTTCAGAACATTACCACTCAGCTAACCATCGGACATTTTAACCGGAACTCTCTCTCTCTCAAGTGTATGTTGAACACATCATTGGAAATTAATCACTGAAAGTAACCAGGAATGTCGACACATTGGGTTAGTTTCGTATCCTTTACAGGACGTTGCAGAACCAACACAAATAGCCCCTGGCTGTTGTGTGGTTTTTCTAGGCAAATTTAAGTCCAGTAGTTTGCCATTGCTTACTGGACGGTCGGCTTTATTGATACCACTGTCGAAACAAATGCAAAGCGTTCGCATCGACTTAGCCACAGAGCCGACTTGTCGACACATAGAAAACATATATAATATATAGTAAAAATAAAGGACCATTTTCCACGTTTTCAGGCGTTTAGGGCTGGACCTATATTCTGTAGGCCAACCTGTGCTCGGTGGGTGATGTGATCAGCATCAAATCAGCCGCCTTTACCCGGTACCCACTGAAGGCTGCGTCGACCTGAGAGCCAAGGTCATTATTTATTTTAGAAAAAAAGTGGAACCCACGATCTTTCTATCGGAAAGCGAGCGTCTGGCCGCTACACCACGGCGACTTGCACATTATATTATGTATATATATGTATATATATGTATGTATAATATGGTGAAGGACAAATCCCTGTCATAATATATGTATGGGGGAGGAAGGAGAATGAAATTATTTTTGAAAGTTGATTGCCTGTCATTTACGAGGACAATGTAGAATCGATCCTAGCATTTTTTTTTTTTTTTTTACGATTTCACAAGGCACTTTTACATTCAGTAGTTTGCCTTGCTACTACTGAACGGTCTGCTCTCGCTACAACTGTTCAAACCAAAATAATGCGGTTTGCTGTTGAATCGCCCGTAGCTGGGATCGAACCTGCCACATTTGAGTTACCAACCGCTTTCCTGATGCCTTAGCTAACCGACGAAATGTATAAACAAACACTTGAAGAAAAAATTTTATTTACGTCATGAGAAAAAAAAAGGGGGAGGGGGTGGGGGAGGATAAGCCACCCTTATGTAAAACTGTAGAATAGCTCAAGCAAAGGCAGCATTTTGCCAAATGAAGTATATTTTATGCAATTTTTCTTTGTCAGTTGAGACAAAAAAGAGAATTCTTGAAAGCTATATAAATCCTGTCAGGAGTCGAAGTGGCGGAGCGGCTAGACGCTCGCCGCAAATCGGAAGGTCGTGGGTTCGCTCCCTGGCGGAGACAGACTTTTTTCAATAATGACATTGGCTCCCAGATCGACCCAGCCTTGAGTGGGTACCGGGTGCGGTCCCGGGAAGTTGAGGCGGCCGGCGTGATGCTGACTACATCACCCATGTTGAGCCGATTGGTCTGTAAAAATATAGGTCTAGCCATAAATGCCGCATACGCCTAAAGGCGTGGGAAAGGGTCCTTTTGACTTTATATAAATCATGTCCTTATTTATGGAAGTGAATTCATGGTCAGTCTTCCTCCTCCTTGTTCTTCTTATCTTCCTCTTCTTCTTCTTCTTCTTCTTCTTCTTCTTCTTCTTCTTCTTCTTCTTCTTCTTCTTCTTCTTCTTCTTCTTCTTCTTCTTCTTCTTCTTCTTCTTCTTCTTCTTCTTCTTCTTCTTCTTCTTCTTCTTCTTCTTCTTCTTCTTCTTCTTCTTCTTCTTCTTCTTCTTCTTCTTCTTCTTCTTCTTCTTCTTCTTCTTCTTCTTCTCTTCTCCTCCTCCTTCTTCTTCACGTCCTTCAATAACTTTATCGATATGGTTGAACCAGGTGTAATGATTTTATGTGTACTGTTTCTAATGTGTTGCCCAAGCTGGACTTTATTTCCTTAAGGCTGTTTATTGATGTCATCCTTCCATTTTCTGCTTGATCTTTCCCTTGCTCTGTGTCTATTTTATTTCTTTAGCGTGGCTCTCTGTGACAGAAGGTACTGGGGTATTCTCATCAGATGGCCACACTATCTCATCTGTTGCTCTTTAATAAACGGTATGACAGGAACAATCATCTCTTTGCCAATCCGCAGGAATCCCCTCTTTACCTTGACCCCAGCAGCAAGAAGTTTCCAGCGGTTTACCTTGTTTCTCACTCTGGAGGTCAAAGGTCAACAATATTCATGGTGATGACATGCCTGTTATATGGCCATGTCAATGGAACTTTGGAACAAGAATGGTGAGAGTAATTGTTTTTGTTTGTTTTGTTTTTCGTTTCGTTTCTTTCTTTTTTTTTTTTTTTCAGAAAGCATTTTTTACGTTTGCATTCTTTTTTATTTCCTTCTTGGAGTCTACCTGAAGATTTTGTCATACTCTGGCTTGGAGAGCCACTTTCGGCTGTCGTTATCACAGCATCAAATTCAACCATTTAAAACAGTTAGTTAAATTAAGACAAAGGAAGCAAACGAGAATGCGGTCTATATCGAGGCATCTCTCTTTTAAGCCATGTTGGCAAAATGTATGCCAAGATAATAGAAACAATAGAGACCAGTGATAGAACTACAGCTGGCAGAAGAACAGATGGGATTTATGAGAAATAGAAGCTGCACAGATGCAATCTTCACACTTAAACAGTTAATAGAAAAGGACATTGAATACAATAAGAACTTATTTGTGGCATTCGTAGACCAGGAGAAGGCATTTGACAGAGTCGACAGACAATTATTAAGGAAAATAATGGCAAGATATGGAGTAAGCGAACACCTCATCGAAGTGTGCAAAAGTTTATACAGGGATTGTAGAAGTGTAGTTAGAATAAATCAGGGAACATCTCATCCTTTCACAGTGACATCTGGAGTAAGACAGGGGTGTGTCTTATCACCACTGCTGTTTATCACCTACATCGACAGTATATGCAAGAATGCCAAGCCCATGAATGAAGATCTTAGTAAGATCAACCGAATTACTCTTTGCAGATGACCAGGCCTTGATAGCAGATACAGCCATGAAATTGCAACCACATCTAACAATCCATGAATGAAGAATGTAAAACAAATAATATGAGAATCAACACTGAAAAGACAGAAGTAATGTCAATAGGAAAAAAGAAGACAGATCTAAACATAGCAATAGAATACAAAGGCATTAAACAGGCATCTGAGTTTAATAATCTGGGAACTTACATTTACCGAAGATGGGAAATTGGATAAAGAAATTGACATTAGATGCAGTAAAGCAAACCAAGTATTGGGACAGCTAGCACCCCTCTTACAGCATAAGACAATCCCAATCAGCACAAAGAGACATCTTATTCAAAGCATATTTATTCCAACTCTGTGCTACCAGTGCCAGACATGGTCACTCACAACAAAACCATAAAAGAAAAATTAGTAACCACGGAAATGAGATGTTCTTAGAAGGGCTGTAGGAGTGACCATAAGAGATAAAATCAGGAATGAGATCATAAGAGAGAACAAGTCGGCACAGAACCAATTCTGGATTACATGCTAAGACAGCAAGTGAATGGTTTTCCCCACTTACGAAAGAATGCCTTGTAACACCATACCATACAACGCATACATGGAAAGAGAAGAAGGACGTAGAGCACAGGGGTAGACCAGAACAAGAGGGAAGGATAACATCAGAGAAACTCTACAACAGCACGATGTGCCTATGGTCGAGGCAGCCAGAAGAGCTAGAAACAGAACCGTATATCTCCCTCGACACCCACAGCGGTAAAAGAGGAAGTGAAGAAGAAGAAGAAGTTAAATTAAGGCAACATACAATTTTTAACCATAAAGCTGAGAAACAACAAAGCCAGGAAAAGTAAGTAATCTGTAATTCATCACTTTTTGTAAGCTCACAGGTTTTAATCTGGCTCACACAAAGGGATAAAGATAGCTTCAAGAACTACCACATAGAAATAAACAGCTGACTTAAACAGATCATTATAAAGAGCACACATAACGTTTATATCTTCATTCAAACCTTCCCTAAGTGCACTGGGGGAACTGAATTAAAAGATTATTTTCACGTAAATCCAGTCAGTAGGACAGATAAAAAAGGTTAAGTCGGGACATGTGAACCAGTGGCAGAGCACTTATGGTTTATAACCGTGTGCGATGACGTTGGTTCACATATCCCGACTTTGCCTTTTTTTACCAGCGTCATTGCACACGGTTATAAACCATAAGTGCTCTGCCACCAGTACGGGCAGCTGATAAGAAACTGTCCGCCTGTGTCGGCGTCCGCACGTAACTCCGTAGCTACAGCGACGTTCCTCCAATTACCCCAGAGTGTCAACTTTGGTTCCCATTTCCTAGAGGCTGGGTGAACCCGGGAACCACCTGGTTTCGAACACCGGCTGTGGGCTGCAGCGAGACGCAGTTTGATTTGAAAGAGAGTCTCTTATCGCCTGCGCTAACGCGGCTCAAATTTGACGGAGAAGCGGATATAGTGTTTTCAGTCGTGGCAAGTTTTAGCTTCTGTCCAGCGCTGTTTTGCTGGTAGAAAAAGGGAGACTTCCGGGCGCCCTGTCTGACTGACTGACTAACTTTCTACCCCACCAGGACATCACACAAGCGGCAATTACCCGAAGACACAATGTGCCACCATGCGGGTGAGGATCACCGTGGAGAGGTTCCAAAAACCGCGTTCAGCCTTTAGGCCATAATATGGCCAGGCTATATTGCGGCCCCTGGCAAGAGCCAGAGTAGGGCTTCAAATAACGAAACATTTCATCGTAAAAAGGACGAGCAGTATTAACATTAGGCGCCCCGTGACGAGAGCGACGTTTTGTAAAGGATCTGCTGACTGATGAAAGTTTGTAAAACCACTAGGCTGTCGTGTAGTCGGCTCTGTGGCTAAGTCGATGCGAACGCTTCGTAATGCCGGGTGCCGGGTTCTATCCCAGCTGCGGTCCATGCGCCATGCGTTGGTTTCGACAGTGGTATCAGGGTGACGGCCGTCCAGAAAGCAATGGCAAACTCCTAGACGTAAATTTGCCTAGAGAAACCACACAACAGCCAGGGGCTGTCGGGGTTGGTTCTGCAAAGTCAGAGGCTGTCATGTATCTTTTTTTTCGGTGCCACTCACTACCTTTCCTGTCATATATCTCTAGCTAGAGGACTACGTGGTCTAGAGTCATGGTGTCCGACTTGAGTGCTAGAGGTTCCGAGTTCAATCCCCGGTAAGGGCTGGACTTTTTTTCACGTGGACTTGGACTTCCAGTAATTCCCCCTGGTCTCTGGGTAGTGAGATCAGACGCCCGTGTGCATTGTTGCGCACGTAAAAAAATCCCTTGGCAGTTGGAAATAAAAAAGAGAAGCCTAACAGCGCAAAACTTGGAGTTAAAAATCTACCCAAAGTAGCCGGTGCTACAGAGCCTTTAAACTCTGCTGAGCTTCTTCGGACTCAGACTTGAGTTAGAAGAACGGAGCATTTATGGGTTACACCTGAGTGCCATGATGTTGATCCGTTGTTCAAAACCTCAAAACCTCAAACCACATCTCTAGCTATTACATGTTCAAGTTTATTTATTCTTATGCCCGGCTCTCTAGCGTAGTTGGTTAACCCTGACATCGCGGTGACCGGGTGACGAGCTCCTTGTGGTCCGGGTTCACTCCTGGGGGTAGGCAGAAAAGCCACATTTCTCCCAGATTTACGGTACCTGTCATGGAATCAAGGCCGAAGGTTCGCGACATCCGTAGTACCGAGCCTAAGGGTTAACAGCTCATGGTTTCTGGATATTTAAAAAAATTAATTTATTCCTGTATGTCCGAGTATTTATGACTGCCTTTTTTTCTAATGTTTATGATAGTTTGTATTCGTGTCTTAGCCGTTTTCAACGCATTTAGATTGAATATATTTTGACTCTGCATGGGATTTTACGCAATTTTTGTGTAAACCCGCTGTGGTGAAGCAGACGCTAACCGGCGACCCTAAAGTCATGGGTTCAAGTCTGCACCCAACAGCTCTTTCGACGCCGCACCGACGCTGTCGAAACTGGATACCTGGTAAAATCATGGGAAGTAAAGACGACCTGGCGTGATGCTGATATAACTGTGTCACACCTTTTGTTTGCACAAGCATACACATGCATTTACATCAGTAATCTAAGTGTAAGGTTAAAATGAAAAGCTTAAATTTCACATTTCTTTTCTTTATATTTATTTTTTTATGCGCACCAGATATCTTAAATTTACCTGTGCTAAATCAAAAATTATGTTATCAGAGCATTCACATCTTTCAGCTGTTTTAAAAACATCACAACCTGATGAATTCTGCCAACATAAATGCTCCCAGATGTTGCACTGTGTAGACTCAATGTTACTACAGACTAATGAGGTCACTTGCGTACAGGAAATTGAACGCCTGGAATCGTTGAAATAGTTAATACGTTGAGAATTACAGTCAGCACATGTAGCAAATTCGTATCTAGATAGAATAGGCTTGTTTTCATCCATCATTTACTTCTTTTTTCTTCTTTTTTTCTTCTTCTTCTTCTTCTTCTTCTTTCTTCTTCTTCTTCTCTTCTTCTTTATTATTATTCTTCTCTTTATTCTTCTTCTTCTTCTTTTCTTCTTCTTCTTTTCTTATTCTTCTTCTTCTTCTTCTTCTTCTTCTTTCTTCTTTTCTTTCTACCTTTATATTTTATTATTCTTTTTCTTCTTCTTGTTTTTCTTTTTTCTTCTTTTTTTTTA